AGTTTGCTTCTGTAGAGCCTGACCTAGTGCTTCCTAAGGTAAGAGCAAGTCATTCCTGTAGGAAGTGCTCTTGGTTTTATTTAACTGCTGCAATCACATTATTACCCAGTGGAAAGGCTGCGTCTACATTTCTTTTGTAAACCAGAAGCAATTTTAGGGATGTTTAGGCATTTTTCTACGCTCTACCAAGTTCTCCACGCCCTGATATCATTCCCCCAGGAAAGTGACCTTCTCAGTAAGAAACTTGATCTTACAGGTATCAAATGACCTGAAAAGATCTTTCAGCAGTTTGGTCAGGATAACATTAATAACCCAGCCCACGGGAGAATATGGGGTACCAAAGCCCTTGTGAATTTGATGAATGTGGACTGCAAAGGAACTGACATACCCCCAACATGGTTCACCAAACAGTAAATGAATGAGTTCCAACTGACTACATCTGCAGAACCACAGGCTGTTGGGTGTGGAGACTCTTCATCAACTTCCTCAAAAAGTTGGAATTCTGTATTGAGCACAACAAAAAAAGCTGCCAGCATCTTCTCACCCTAGAACTGAAACTACTCAAACATGTAAGAAATTTGTTCTATTAGGCTCTTTTATCATATCCAAGTAGGCTACCACAGCAGCTACAAATACAGTACCATTAAAACATGTCAAGGAATCTATATACCAATACATATATATATGCGCTATATTAAACTGAAAAACAAATACACACAGCACTTTGAAACAGTCTGAAGAACTTAAATTTGACCTACAGTTTACAGCTCTGGAAAAAGGAATTTTGTTTTACTGTAATCAGCACTTTTATTTGAAATAAAAGTCACACCTTCTAAACATATATTCATAATCATAAGTCACCTCAAAACCCTATGTATTTAGGAGTTACAATGCCCTATCATTAGTTGTTCTAAGCTGATAAAATACTAATGGAATGCTGACTCGACAATTCAGTCAATACAAACTATATGTTTTATAGTTAAGGTTGCTATATGAGCAATGTCCCATACAAAAACCTCTTGCATAAAACTGCACACAGAAGACACCAGTTTCTAAAACCAAGGCTATGTTGTACAAATAGCTATAGTCCTGTAACTAAGAAAACCATCTGATGCCAAAACATTGAGCTTTGAAGAAAGAAAAATCTTCAAGATCCATCAAAGCTTCATATGTCTACCTTTTACTCTCTCAGCATGTATCAGCAGAACACGCTTTTTTACGTGAATGGGAATTTTTTTTAAACATTTATTGCCCTACATATGTCAGTAGTGCAGGCTTGTTAGTCTTCAAAAAAAATATCTGGAAGTGTCACAACCTATAGTATATTTTTTAGTAGGAATAAACAGAATATTTTCTCTAACAGGAAGTTACTGCAGGGAAGAAAAAGACAGTTTTTGCTCTATCCCCACCTTATGGCTGGAAAAAGAATTTTCCCGTTACAACATACATATTTCTGATTTTTTTCCTTTACTGTATGACTATAGCTAGAGAATATTTACTATTTGTATTATGCAACTTAAGATTCTTTCTTAGCAACTATGCACTCCTCCACATACAAGCACAATGAAACTCCAAGGCATAAATGTCCTCTCTAGCACCTGTGTTGATTTTCTGAATCAAAACAGCAGACTTAATGATCCAACATGACTTTAGATTCAAATAGAACAGTGATTTTTAGGCCCTGACCCACAAAAATTATATTCCTGTTGACTCCACTAGGAGTTAAACAGCTAGATCTCCTTATAGATCTCATCTAACCTTCATTGATATACCATCCTTAATATTTACATTTTAAAAAAAAAATCTTTAAAACTAATAATCAGGTGATTTATACCACTCAAATATTAAACTTACATGCCCTATAAATTAAAAGTATGCACGAATCTAGTTTTAAAGCTTTCACAACGATCTTCTCTCACTTATCTTGCGAGCAAAATGATGTGAGCATGAGAGCTAGAATAGTACATACTCCTCACGAGATTTACTCAAGTTGGCAAAGAGCAGATCTCTCATCAGTCACTCCATACATGAGATGATGTATGGAGTGACAGCACCACCCCACAAGGGAAAACACTCTCTTTTCTCATAGTCACCTGCCTACCAATAAACATTTTTCTTCTTCTTTTATGCCTTAATGACTTGTGATACCACTCACTGGCCCAGTGACTAACATTAGCTATGTGAAAAGCTGAAAACCAAGACAGAGGTCACCAGAAGTACCTTTGCCAAATTCTTCTATTTTGGCATTTTGACTTTTTACTCTTTCATTGATGGTCATAGTGAAAGGGTAGGGTAGGACACAAAACAGAGTAATGCTTGGAAAGCTGCAAAGAGAAGAAAGAGAATGGAAAAACTGGGTAATGCCTTGGTGTGCCTTTAGTTTTTCAGGCCTTCTATCCTGCTTTCCTGAGGAAATGAAGAGTCATAATTCTATTGTCCGAGAACTTCTCCTTCCCAAAATCTCTTTAATCTTACCTTTAAAACCAGAGGAAATTCAATGAGTCAATAGTCTCAATGGTTTCTGAACACCAAATTTCTCAACGGTTCATGAAAACAGCTGAGTCGAAGAGACACCTTATTAATTCATCAGCATGACTCTTCCCTCAATAACCCTTGCCTTTTTCCTCCTAATGGCAGAGAATCAACACAGAAATTCAAATAAGAGAACCCAACTTCATTAGGCCTTCTACCACAGATCTAGTTCAAGAAGACATTTTCTAGAACTACATGCTTTGATGTTTTCTCATTAAAGTGAGATTCAATAACAGAAAATAGATTATTAGTATATCATCCAAGGTTATATTTATTGGAAGTGTTCACAGGTTTTTAGACAACACTGCTGTAAGGAGCTTTGATTTTAAAAATCCAGTAAGGAGTACTGGGTAGAGAAGAGATCCTATGTATATACATGAAGGAGTACAGAAGAGCTGCCAAATATGAATATAATTAACCTCATGGTGAACATTCAAGAAGAAGATACTAGAAAAACATAATAGCATTGTATATTTCTGAATGCTTAATCACACTACATCAACCACATTGATTTTCAGTAAGTATTTATTTAAAGTTTAAGAGAAACCTGAATACCTGCCAAGCTATTCAGGTCTTCTGAATTCCTGCCTGCTTCAGCTATTATGAAATGCTCACAAAGTGCTGGCAATCTAGTGACAGGACACATTCTGACTTAAATTTCTCAGGGCTTATAGAAAAAAGTCCCTCTCCTATTAAAAAAAAAAAAAAGCCCCTTCATAAAGATGAATACAGGCCAAAAACACTGTATAAAATATCAAAAAAAAGTACACTGGTGGCTGGCTTTAACCCTTCCTTGCCTTGCTTCCCCAATGGTAGCTGATCATCCATCTACTATGTGAGAATGTGAACGTTCCACTAAGATCAGAGTGGATCTTGCTCCTAGGCAAATCAAAAAAGAAAAAGTAGATAACAAAACAAGTTCCAAAAGAAGCTACAGCACTCAAACAACTGTACAATGAGGAAACATATATGGTTATACAAGACTATAAAAAATATTTCAGGGAAAAATTAAGAGAAAACATTTCTAACAAAGGAAAAATCTACTGTTGCAATAAAATCATTAAATCACGGACAGTAATTACCAAGAAAAATATAAATACCTAGTCAGATCTCCCTTGAGAATGTACTTCATATTATTAAGTCCAAATATCCTCTACACATGTATGTTCCCAGCTTTCTTTGTGAATTCCAAGAGAGTCAGAGACGAAAATGCAGAATAAGGAATCTAGTCAACCTTACAAGAAGCAGACTGAACTAAGCCTTATGAGTTAAGTAAAGCAGAAGAGTTGTCTTTCCTTTCTGCATACTGTAAAAGGATGATTTTTCACAGGTTGTCCAGGATTTTAAAAAGTATGTGGACACGAAATGACATTTGAAGTTCTAGCATTGCTCCAGTTTCCTTAAGAATATAAAAATATTTATAAAATGCAATTATCTTTTGCTGAGTTTTTAGAATATATTCAGTAACACGTTAAACAAGACTACTCAATACATAATGCTTTTAAAAATTCTTTATTTTAACAATAGCTCACTGTGCATATAACGGATTAGCTACCACATACTCCACAAAACTGTGTTATCAGCTCAAACTGAGATTCAACTGCATCTTTATGAAAAGATTTATTAAGCAAAGTCTTCAGCAACTGTTTAAAAATATCAGATTAGGAATAGAATATTTTAAGAAGATATTTTTATACAATTTACATTTCCAGACTTCTCACAAGTTAGGATGACACTCAAAAGGGGGGAGGAAGCAGCTTGGCACTCATGTCAACTTATCTTCACTGTTTGTACAGGATCTAACTTCAAAAACATCACCTGAGCCAGATCTTTTCTTTTCCATAACGTGCATCTGTCCACACCAACCAAATTAGACCACCAACTTGTCTCATATACCACATCAAACAATGGGCCAGCTTAACAGTTCAGAGCATGATTTGAAAATACAAAATATGTATTCTTTCCACCCTAGAATACAGATATTTTCACCTACTTTTCAAAGTAATTTAAAAAACAAAGACATTTATAAATAAATTGAAGCCAAGACATTTATTACACTAGTTTCTACGCTGATTGTTTTGAAAGCCAAGATTTCGTTTATTTAGTAAATCTGCTTTGAACTGCATAATCTATAATGGATTTAGTGAAATCTGCATTTTTATTACTGTTCTCCTTCAAAAGTCTCACACTTCTAATAATAAATGCCACGTCATACCTACCATTATGGAAGAAATACGGTACATCAAAAGCCCTAAATGACAAGTGACACACATTTTAAAATTATGCATGAAGTGTGTGAAAATATACATTGTAAGATTCTTAAATTACTTTTTTAAAGAACTAGCAAGATACTCGGATAAACATCAATAAAGCTAAATACATCCACAAGTGCAAAAGCTAGCTCACAGGATCTCATGTTAGTAAGAAAACACAGAAAAACATCCTTTGAAATTCCAGTGGTCTGTTTTCTAGCCTCTGCTTTTCTTTAAAATAACCTGCAAAAAGAAAAAAGTATATTTACTACTGCTTTTATCACTACAATCCAGGCAGCAGAAAGAGATCCAAAAATGCTAGGCTTCTCAGACCAAAGGTTCACCTAGCCAAACAACCTGTTTCCAAGAGTAGAGTCACCAAGGGTAAAAGTCTAGAGAAAAGGTTAGAAATAAAGCAGAGGCATACAGAAAAATGCCGTATCAGAAAGTATTTTTTTTAAATAAGAACATTCATAACCAAGAATTCTGTAAAATAAAAGGCTTATTTTAAAAATTAATGCTGAGAAGTAGCAATAGTTCTCTCAAGTCCTTAGCAGATTCCTTGAAGCTCTTACCGTGTTAAGCCTAGACAAAACAAAAAAAGTAAGATTTGCAATTATACAGCTACTATGCTCAATTTTTGTTTGTAATGCCTTACTTCTTTCTATTACAAGAGTGCCCAGGCCCTTGGAAGGACATTTTTTGGTTTGGAGTTTAAGTTGAAAAACGAACTTCAAAGTCCAAATGGGACCATTTAAGTGTTAACATTATTAAAATACAGGCAGTTCTTCCTTTCTTCTCATCTTAAAAAAAAATAAATGGAGCACAAAAATGTTCAAATAATGTTAAGATTGCAGTTAAAAAGAAATTACAGATGTGTAAGATTCCAACTGTAACATTCACTTGGCTACCCTAGACATCCTGTATATATTTCAGTTACTATAGTAATAGAAAGTATCAAACTAAACATTTCACCAGAGGGAAAAAAAAAATACTGAAGATAAACAGAAGCCACAGGACCCAAATATCAGATAACACTGAGTTTTGTTCTTCCAATTTGCCCAGCAGTAGTAGGTGGTTGAAGAGATAAACTCAACAAATTAAAAAGACTGAGTTCCTTCATGAAACCTAGGTAAAACAGACATACTCCACCAAGTGAAATGAGCTACAGAATACAAAAGGATTTCAGTCATACTTTGACACTATTCTAATTCTTTCTAGAGAGAGAAAGCTACAAAACACCTTCCTCTTGCCCTTCTTTTGCACGTACACAAAGCTTACCATGCTCTGCAACGTAGAGGATTCCTCTTTCACAGATATTCATAAAGCGATTTTTTGTTCTGGTGAACTACCCGTATAGCAACCCACAGTTTAATCCTCCCTTAGTTCTTCCCTTGCCGAAGACATCATACAAAGTATCCGTTTGTTCAAGTAACATCCACAGAATGCTGCAAGAATCTACTTCAAACATTTTTTCAGAGTAAGCAGGTAAGAACTGAATGTGTAAGAAAGATATTTAAACCTCTTTGAACTATTTCTTACTTGTTCCATACAGATTCATTTCTATTACTGAAGTTAAGACAGCATGCTTCCTTGATATGCTATCATCTGAAATGAAGATCCTCCAACTTTGGAGTTTGCTCCTCTTCCCTGGGCTTTCGGCCCATGGATGCTTGCTGGTAGATTACTGTGTACACTTACCCACATATTGAAACTATGAATTTAATTATGGAATAATCAAGGAAAATAGAGCTATATTTAAAAGGGCAAGGAGAGTTAATTTGATGTCTTGGTAACAGTGAATTACATCAATGACGGATTAAAGAACTTTACATTTCTCAGTTTTTGGATTATAAATAAAAACATCAACACTAACACAGAAAACTTTTGTATATACTGTCATAATACATTTTATATTAAACAAAAAAGGAAAATATTAAAAATGCTTTATTACCTTTGCTGCAGCTATAGTGTGCTCTGGTTTAATAATTTTACTTTTGTTCTCAAAAGCATTTGTCCTAGCTTCTTCTGCTAGCCGATGGAGAAACAGTAAGAAGTTCAAATGCACCTTTAAAAGAAGGAAATAAAAAATAAAAAAATCAAGGAGGATTCAAACTGTTTATGCAGTTTGTTTTTATAGAAATTCATCATTTGAGACAGAGGATTTGCATATTAGACGGCTTCCAAATTCCTGAAAGGTGTTCTCAGGAAAACAAAGTACTACTCCGTTCAAGTCTTAATAAATTCTCAAGACATGCCTTACTGCAAGACTTCTGTAAATATAGTTTAAATTTAGTATACTGAAATCATAAAAGTGCTCTAGAAATGATCATATAAACAAAAACTGATCTAACAGAAATCAAATCTGCTTTTTATTAGCAGTTTTTTTATAATAAAACGTAAACATAAACATCAGTGAATAAGGAGTCTTTTTGCTTACTAGTAAATATAGTCAGCTTTCACTAACTACAACGTCCAGACTTTTAATGAACAGTAACTTCATTCCTGCATTATCACCAAATGGACCACAGACAAGTTCAAGGACTTCTGTCCTTTTCCAGTGCAAAGGAGCATTGAGATTAATTTCTCCAGAACAAGAAACTCTCCACTGTCGGGAGGTTCCATCCATTTTTTCCCAGCTCATCACTATAGTTAACTTTTTACATGAAAAGAACTGGTAGGGCACTATTCTGTTCAATACAGAATGCTGCTCTGCTAGTGCAGAAGCAGCAAAAATTTCAGCAGGCAAGGAACTGCTCCAACTTGGACTAAAAACTGCCAGCTAAAAGCACCCCTGTGTAGTAAGGGACCTATAATACAAACCTCTAGAATTATACAGACATTATGTGAACTACTTCCAAGAGTCCAACCTGAAAACTGGTAACTGTACCTTTCGTAAATTAAACTTTCAAACAACATTAACTTCGCTACATAAAGTGTACAAAAATACTTTTTCAATCAAGAGCTCAGAAAAATATTACTGAAATATATAAAAATCTTATTCATATGAATGAGGTGATATAGTTATTCTGCCATACTTGATCTGCAAAGCCTAGAAAGATATAACAAGGTAAGTTACAAGTTAAGAGTTTATAGGCAATATTTTGTCTGTGGGTTTGTTAGAGCACAGGCATTTCAGTGTTCATATAACAAGCAATTTAGGGTTTTTATTTTTAATCTCTTGAACTAAATGAAGCCAGCGTGCAATAGATAAATTTACATAATATTTGGCATTGTTTGGAAGCATCTACTACACAAAAAGCAGATGCTTTTGCAGATTTATTTAGCAAACTATCAAAGCCGTTTTTAAACTAGTCTTTAGTTACTCACACAGAAATAATCTCCAATAGAATCAAGCAGTGGCACTAAAATACTGTTCAACATTAGAACTTTCATTATTAGACTTATCAACATGGAGGTTAGATTTCTGGAAACAACATGGGGGAGAAGAGGAAGGTGGAACAAAAACTTCCATACTTGCAAGTCCTCCTGCTGAGAAACCTAAATACAAAAGTGTTAATTTTAAAACTGCCTTTAAAAATTGCGTCTTCTCTCAGAATCACTATACCCTTGTCCTCCTATTTTCAAAGCCAATTGCTGCATGTGGAGAAGTTTTCCCTGAACTCCTATAGATTTAGAAGTAGTCACATAACTAAAATTAGAACATTTCACAACAGAGCACACATGTTAATAAATATTCCAGATTATTCAAAGCAATTGAGAAAGGCTAATGAAAGGCAGAATGACTGAATACCAGGAACGGGACAGTTACTGACAAGTACCTACATTGTACCACATTCCTTTAAAGGCATTGCTTTACTACATATTAGATTATTGTCCCTCTGCATAAAATCTAACAACAGTTTTGAACTACTCATGAAAACCACCTTACACAACAGAATGCTTATTTCCCATTAAAGAAAGGTTGTAAAGTTTTAAGAATATATGCAAAAACTCACAACACTGCTTGCAGAGCAACTTCCACACACCTGTTCAACAGAACTAATGAACAGTAGGGACAAGCTCAGTAAATTTGTTTTGCTGCCATAACTTCAGAGCAATTCTTTAGACTTCAATGTACACTTATTCATCATTCTATGCCAAATAAGAAAAAATTCAATGCAATACTTTAAGCTTTTTCTGCAATGTAAATACGAACCTGCCCTTCTACCATAGAACAAGCAGCTGAGTTGCTGCTTTTCTTCTACAGTTTCAAGCTAGAACAAATTTTGCAGCTTTTTCTTCTCAGACCATTGGGGGGGGGGAAATAGCTGAACTTCAGTACTAAAATCTTTACCTTGTATTTAAAAAAGGTAAATAATTGACTTCTAAGAGCACTGGAAAAACCTTAAACACTATTCCTATCTCTTCACTCAAAGACATTATCACACTCCTTCAAAAAAACAGCTTCTTGAGAAAGTTTGATGACATTTGTCAGTTACACTGTGCACAGAGAAAGATGTTAACACTTAGCAAATAGGTTCTGACAAAGCTTCAAGTTTCAAAAAGAGACTTGATCAAAAGGATCTGAAAAGTGAAGAAGAAACTCCATTCAGGTATTTAACAAAATTGTCTGAATTCTTATGTCTTTCAAACTTGTTAGTAACGATCATGTAAGAAGACATTGGTTTATCAAGGAGAAATAATCGCCGAAGGTCAGGAAAAGGAGAACAATCTGATTATGTCATAAGCCAGGTAGGCAGACCTCCTCCCTGGCCTGGCTAAGTACCACCGCAGATTCAAACACAAAGCATGGATCATTCAGCAAGATAGCCCAGAAACTGAATTAGCCCATTCTCTTATTTCCCTGCAGAAGACACAAGCACTCTGCTGAAAATGTATATGGTTTCATCTTGTTAAGACAGCTACAATATAAATTTCTGAAGTATGCAATCTAATCATTCTTACAAGGTTTGTAGGGAATAACAGAGACACTAAAAAACCCATACTCTCAAAACTTGTTATTTGTCTAACTACAGAACTAAACTCCCCCTCCCCTTTTTTTAAACTAAAGCAAAACTCCAGTCATGGTGATTATTTATTCATAGAAATAAAGAGTTAAAAAGCTGTTAGCCACATGCCTAGTTGAAGAACATCATGGACAATCACCATCCCGGACATTCCTGTTTAAAGGTAAAATAAAAAAGCCAAGCCTCCTAACATTAAAGGCCATTTAATTTGACATCACCAGAAGAGATAATCTAAGCTTCCACCACATTATTAAAATTCATTCTCATCTCAACCTTTGTGTTGGAATGAGTATTTGCATAGCCATATTTTAAGCTAGATCAGATTGTTGTTGTTCATTAGTTTCAGTCAATTCAATTCACCGATTGTCTCTGCAGCCCACAGAACACTAGTGCCAGGACAAGGAAGAGATGGGAACCAACGGCCAAGATTTGGAGGCATGTCCCACTTACTCCTTTTCAGACAGCTACACTACCTTGAAGCCAAGTTAACATGACCATGGAAACACAGACCAACTGTTACTAATGACTACAAAAAAGTTTATTAGTGATTGTGTAAATTTGATGAGCTGACTACTGCATTCCACTGAGTAAGCTTTCAGGGGGTCTGAACACGAGTAGCAGGGGGCCAGGTCCTTAGTCCATCCAAAGATAGGGAAAGCAGTAGGAAGAGATCGTATTTTTATTAGACCAATTAGAAAAATATGTACTGTTCACATTAAAATGTAAATCCTCTCATGTAATTACCATATTCATTCATATTAATCTCATCACATTTTTAAAAAAATTTTGTATATTTACATTCATCTTCATATATCCAGATACCACCCTTCAAGATGCTGCAAGACACAACTTTTATACAAATATGAAATGGATTTACAATTCAAGTCAGGGACTACACTACTATACAGTATGCATTAACACCATGAGAATCACACACATTTGAAAACAAGAGAGCATGACAGTCAAGCAAGTTAAGCCTATTAAGTCAATTCAAAGAAATTTATTTTTATTTTTTTTTTTTTTTTTTAGACACGGATTTTTTAT